TAGGTGATATTAATACCATGTACTTTGTGCTAGGTGTGCTCGCTCAGTAGGAAATGCAGAATTGGAGCCACTTCTGTTCTGTACATGCAGTTCTCCTGTGTGTTTTGCCTGTTGACCTGCCTCCAAAACAAAGTGGGAGGGAAGAGCTGAATGCAAGCAGAAAATATGGGTAGTGTTTATGTGCAAATACAAAGGAAGCTTCTAGTTACAAAGATTAAAAATGTTAAGTAAATAGCTTTATTTTGTATCTTCATTCTGTAATATACTTTCTTTAGAGAAAAAAGCTTGGAAAACAAGCATGATATTCTAGAAGTATGACATCATAGCTAGCACAGCTCAGTGTTACAGACTGGTCATAAATTCAGCCTGCACGGTATGAAAATCTTAATTGCTTTGTGTTACACATCCTGAATTTTTAAAAAAACAAAACTAAGAGAAGTGGGGGGAGGAAGGTGGCAAGATGGCAGTAATAACTTATTTCTCTCTGTAATTATCTGTTAAATCTCCCCTTAAGTAGTTCTTTACATAGAAACTCCTCCCTGTACTTCCTCAAGATTGATATTCCTCCCCTGTTCTTATTAAACCAATGTAAAAGCTAGATGGAGTTTGTCAGGAATTCTCTCCAGTCTGGAGATAAATTAAAAATATGCTCAGCAGAGTGATCTTGTTCTTAGATAATTATCTTAGCAAAGTAATGGAGAACTTCTAAATCTGTGACAGAAAAGCAGAGGATACCCACACCAGTAGTTTATCACAGAATCTGTTAGATACCTAACTACACTGAGAAATCTGACTGGTATCCTTTCACAGACGTTACTTAATGAATTCTTACAAATTTTAATGTAGAGCTGTTAAGACACCACTTAAAGAGCTGCTTTTATAAATATTGCAGCATTATTTCTAGCATCTTGCTTTTCAACATAATTGTAAAAAAAACATTAACTGTGATTCCCAGCTGCTATGCTTTGTCTTTTTTTTTTTTTTTTTTTTTGTGGTGGTGGTTGCCTGCAAAAACAGACCCTGTTTGCTTCCATAGAACAGTAATCTCTGAACTTCATCTTGGCAATGAGTGTTAGGGAGGTATCTTTTAAGCCACTGGATTTGAGGTTAGGACATTCATTTCTGTGTCAGCTGATATCCCAAGCTGGATCATAAATGAAAAGCAGTGGAGTTCAATTGCGCTGTATAACAATAAAGCAGGAAACAGTAATTGCCAAACTACTGGCAACACAAACTAGAATTTACAGTAGTGCTAACTGAGCAGATCACACTGATGTAATACTGCAAATAGCCATGCTTTCTGAAATGAAAGAGAGGGTTTTTGTTTTTAAGAATCTACTGTGCACCAAAGCAGGGAAGAGGCAGAATACTGCACAACAGTACAACTAGTTCTAGCTATCTACTCTCTTTAATTACTTCTGAAATTATTTATGACTTTTCCGATGCCTGCAACTTCATAGCTTGGATTAAAATACTTCCAAAATCTTTATCTTGATTAAAAAATAACAATAAAGGAGTAATGCAATGATCTGATGGATAGTGCAAGAACAAATTCATCTATGACTATTACCTCTTTCTCTCTTTATGAATTAAGTCTATACAAAATCTGCTACAGCACTTGTACAATTAAATCTAAACTAAGTAGTTGAACCCTGTTCCAGAAGACCACTGTGTTGCAATCATGAGTATCTGATCTCTGTGGTTTGAGAAAAATTCAAATGAAATACTCTGGGTGGAACAGTGGCAAGAATATGGCATTCTGGACAGAGAGAACTGGGATGGTTCAGTCTTGAGAAGAGGAGGCTCAGGGGAGACCTTATCACTCTTTACAGCCCCTGAAAGGAGGCTGTTGCAAGGTGGGGGGTGGCCTTTTTTCCCAGGTGACAGAGACAAGGTGAGAGATGATGGCCATAAGTTGTGCCAGGGGAGGTTTACATTGGATATTAGAAACTTATTCTTGGAAAGAGTGGTGAGATATTGGAGCAGGCTGCCCAGGAGGTGGTGCAGTCACAGAAAAGGGTAGCTGTGAGGTTTAGTGGGCCTTAATGATTCCGTGATTAGTGTTTGTGCTACTGTTAATAAAGCATTCACTTGCAATAGACTTCTTAAATATGTATATTGTTTAAACTGATGAAGAAGTGGTGCAACTTGTTTGAAACAGGAAACATGCAGAGATCCCCTCACTTTCCCCATTTTTGTCTGTTTAGTACTATTCTTGCTTCAAGTCTCTCCCTGTTTGGACAATAAATGCCAAACATCTCCTTTAGCTTTGTTCCTTGGGTATGAGCAAAGATAGCAAAAGCATGCACAAAACCAATGCTATCAGTCAACAAATAAATCTTTTTAGATACATGCAAAGTTAAAGCCTATCACTGGTATGACTAAATGTGGAATTGCTTATTTTTGTTACATGCATATTTTGGTCTGGTCCACTAACTGGGCTGCAGAATGTGCTAAACGTTCTTTTATTGAGTATGGAGAGGTAGGAAAAAGAAGGCAAGACATTAATTGTGAAATTTTGCACTGTGAAACATAGAATTTAAATAATCATGTTGACAAAGGCCCATTTTTCAGTATCATATCACGTGACACTTTCTCTTTGTTCTCCATTGTCACTGCAGTGCAAGGTGGAAATGCAGATGAAAAATGCTGTCCAAAGCCATTCCAGTGAAAGCTACTGGTGTGCCTGTCCCTTACTAAGCTGTTTTCTGCAAGATGATTTACTTTCTATTGACTTCAACAGTACTGGTCACGAGACTACCATTATGGTATAGGGAAGTCTGGAAGTTGCATCTAAGTTCCAGAAAAGCCTAGGTTCAAATTGTGTTGCAGATAACCAGAATGGCTCGCTGTTTTCTTTTCTGGATCTCCACCTGTCTTCTGGAACAATCATTTATTGGCATCATATCCAACCTCAGCACGGGCCAGCAACAAGAGAGGAGTAGCAAAGTGCAGAATGAGCCAATGTTTCTTCAAACACTTTACATGGTGCTTTCTTGTGCTCTGACTGACCATGGCCAAGTACTAGCAGTGTTCTAAATTCTGTGACCACCAGATGTAGAGTAAGGATATAGCTTAATTTTGTTTAAAGCAAAGCCTTTCACAGTTCTGTTGTAAAATTTCAGGTTTTTTTTTTCCTGTCCCAATATACAGACACTCCCCAGTGCCGTATTCTGCTGACAAATAAGCTTCATTTAAGTTGTCTTTGTGTTCATCACGTGTAAGCCATTCTTTGTTCACACAGCATTATTAAATGAACGAAAGCTGGAACGATAACTAAGAACTAATGTCCTAGGGAATGGATATTTTAAACACTATGTTCAACAACCACTTCATAATTACTTTCAGATTAATTTCAGGAAATCAGGTGTAGATTAAATGTTGTACAGTTATTCCTAGAGCTCAGAAGTCTTTAATACATACCTCAATGATCAAAACTCTTGCTTCGTGGCTGGTGATGTCCCTTGTTTGACTGAAAGGGAAGAATGCCTGTGTCCAGACTAACAGCAAATACAATACAGCGATGGTTTTAATCTCATTCTGGATTAACTCATTCTGCTCTGATCCTCACAACTCAGAGAGCAGTTCTACAACCAACTGTAGGAAATAGACACGAAAAGAACTGCATTGTTTATCCCTGATATACCGCCTTAGGTTTTTATTTAACATTGGCTATTTTATATTTCAAATCTGCAAAATAAGTTGTAAAGCAAAGAAACAATCTTTTAAGCTTCTTTTCTAATCTAGAATCAACTCTTCTCCCATATCATTATTTTATTGCAGTCCAACGGGTTCTCCTCTTTTACTTTCCCCTCTTTCTTTCTAAAATAAAACTAATCTGTTTTTAATGCATATGCAATATGTGTTCTCCCTTAGAAGACAATCAGGTAAAAAGTGAAACAACTCTGAGTATTTAATGCTTGTCAACTAATGCATATCTAGATAAAACTATCTAATAACTCAAACTCATTTTAAATTTGGCTTCCAGGCTAGGACTGGAAGGAAAGTCAAGGAACTTTTGGATGCCTTCTGTTCTCTTCTGAATTTTTGCCAGTTTTGATGATGATATTTCCATAAAGTCATATTTGTTTTCTTTGAAGAATGTATTTGTTCCCTATTTTGCTTTAGATCCACAAGATACTGCTTTCCTCTTTCAGAAATAGGGAAAGAAGAGATAATAGATTTTACTTCAAACTCTGTCACATACGTAACATGAACATATTTGTCTCTAAGTTAGTATTTAAGGGAAAAAATGATACACAGCAAAACCTCAGAAGCTAAACATTAGGAATTCAGTCAGAAACTTCTAAGTTTTTGGAGCAGGCCGTCAGATGTTTTTTTTGTGTTTCACTGCTGGGAGCAGGAAGAATGCAGTTTTTCTTCAGAACAATGACAGTTTGACTGTACCCACCTACTAGAAACAAAAGATAAGAGCTATTCAATAACAAAACCATGGCTTACTTGCTCTCCACCGTGCTTTTGCAGAGAACTAGTAGTTACACGAGATGATCTTTTCAAGGAAAAGTTAATCTGGTTGATAACAGACTTTTCTTTTAATTCTTTACCAGAATTAAAGCCAGAAACTCTTTTCTACGTTCTGTCCCCAATAGTTAGAAATGCAGTCTTGTTGCAGGCTTTCATCAAAGTTAGGCTGTGATGCATTCAGTTCTGAGATGTCCTAAGTAGTTCTAGCTGCCTTAACTTTACAAAGTGCTGCACCATTCCTAACACAAGTTCTTACTCCGACTGGTTATAACCTGCGGAAGTTTCCTTAACTCAAGTTGGCAACTGATTCTGTAAGGAAAATAGTGACAAATACAAGGAAGTAAGTACTATCCCACTCTCTCATAGTCTCATACGTGAGCTGATTATTCAGGTTAAAAACTAGTTTAAATTCTCTATTTTGACTAGAATTTCCAGATTCACCAAACTGAGTAAATAACATGATTTTGGGTGAACACAGGCAGAGATCCTTTTGGCTTTGCTCTCCTAAAGGCTGTCAGTGAAGTTAAGGGAACAATGTCTCCCCAAGGCTGAAGATGAGACAGCTCCACATCACAAGACATGGAGCAGTTCAGTTTTTCAGAAGACACTCTTGTGAAGAAATCAACTGCTACTTTCTGAGCTTTTACAAGGGAGGTAACAAGTCCAAGCAGGCAAGTGATCCTCGAAGTAGTTGCTGTACAGGTGACAGGTGAAAGAAAATCTTTGAAACTCTCTGGTGTTCAATGCCGAACTCATGAAGTTTATGAACCCATGGTTTGAAAGCACACCAAACCCCCAAATCCTGCACCAAGCAGGGGCAGTAGAGCAGCCAGAGATGCTCCCACCCAGGGCTAAATCCAGAGCAGAGTGAAGGATGGGATCTGTTCTGCCCTACTCTAACAGAAGCAGCCTGTGAATGTGGAGCTGCCTGAGCTGGGCCTGTGTTTGTGTGCTTGGCCCGGGAGCCTGCCTTGCTGCCAGGCCAGCAGGCGGCTTGGGGCGGATGTAGAGCATGAATGGGAGCATTCATTGCCTTTCTCTTCTCATGCTTCTCTAAGCCTTGGGGCGTGATGCTGTACCACTGCCCTAACCAGGGATAGAGTAAGGGGCTGCCTCTATCCTCCTTCCCCTCTACTCCAGTTCCCTTGCAAAACTAAAAGCAAGGTTCAGCCCAGAGAGCACTAATCAAAAATAAAGTACCATTAGTCATAATAAAGTCCAGCATATCTCAAATTTACTGAACTATCTGCAACTAGGCAGAAAGTCCTGATAAGACTCTCAGTTTGGGAGAGAAAAAAAGACATTAAGCAGGTCAAAGTCACTTTAGTCAGGTCATTTTCAAGGACCTGAGTATGTACTGCACATAGATTCCTTCCCACGTGTTCTTAAGCTATTAACTGCTCCTTAATGCGAGACACAATCTGGGGTAAAACCCACATAAAGTGTCTGTTCTGAGCTCTCATGTGCCCACATCAATGGACTCTCGTTGTGCCTCTCCCACTGCTAAGGAGCTTGTTGGACAGGTTGTAAGGGCTGGCTTCCCCGCAGGGCCTCGCAATAGCAATTTTCAGCATAATGTCTTCCAAAAAGCAAAATATTCCTATAACTCCTGTTTCCTGACATCAGACCTACATTTTCCCTTCAGCTAAATGCCATTCCCTGCCCAAATAATGGCTGCAACTTTTCTGACATCCGACTGAGATGGGGTTCCTTCCATCTGTGCTGGTGGTGAGGGCCTTGCTACAATGGCCCTGTGAGGCAGCCTTGCTTTTCCCTCAGATTTTTGCTTTGTGTATGTTTCTGTAGCCAGACACATAGCTCTGTGTGTGCACAGATGACAGACGTGTTTATATTGCTTCAGAGGTAGAACGGTGTGTAGAGCTACATTTTGTCAGACTAATGTGAAATATTAAAGTAGGCTTTCACACACTTAGCTCCAACAAAACATGTTTTAAAAATAGTTCCTATGTATAGTACCATCTTCTGTAACAAAATCTTAGGAGCATTTCATACTGATGAAAGTAAGCTGCTTAAAACATGAAAACAGAATATTCTGAAAGACAAATTCACTGTGTGAGGTAAAGGGAAGAGAATCTCTGTTCCTCCTCCTACAACAGACAGTAACACTTTTTTCCTCTATATATTAGAACCCAAACAGGTTCAATTCTCCCAGTGACAGTTTGTTCTCTGTGATATAAACCTGATAGGGACTTTGTTGTGCAGGCTTTGAAGAAACTGCTTCTTACATCCGTAAATGCTGTGCCTGTAGCATGACACTTGTCACCTTTTTATTTAAGGGCTGGGCAAAAAATTTTCAGAAGGTGTGCTACAGATTATAAAGGACAGTTTTGACAGGCCCAGAGGAAAAATGATACTGGTTGAATGCTTTGGGGGGGGAAAAGGGGGGGGCTTGGAAGACTGTAGAGCACAAACTGTCAAGAAGCCAACTTAATATAACTGTTTCCTTTATACTCTAAGGATTCACAAGGGACTTCGCTGCTAGCATACAGGAAATCAAGTCTGTTGTGCTAGAACAAGACTTTGTTTCTTACAATTTAGAAAACTACACAAAGTTTCCTTACAGGAAATGTTACAATTCATACAAATTCCCATATTTATTTGTAGACAAAAATTGCTATTCACATAGCAGGAAAACTAGATGAAAGCAGAAACAGCATAGACTTACTGCCATTATGGGTATTGGTGCACAGACCTTCATGATGGCAATAAATACAACTACACAAAAGTGTACTGTAATGTAGAGATATCTTTATTACCGCCTGTTTTTCCAGTACTGGCCTAATTTTTAACAGGAATCCTTGAAAATAAATTATGTTACACTAATGAATTTCTTCAGTGAGGAGCTTTAAGAGTTTATTTTAGGTAAAGCCTGTCCTCTGTTATACTATTCGACCAAGATAAACTGACTTAGGATATTTTTCCTTCAGAGCAGGCCATTGAACAATGAAGTAATCCGAAAAATAGTAAAGAATTTTTCCAGACAGGGATAAAGTTTCCACGCGGCAGATGCTTTCTATGTACACAATGATGGCTCTTTTCATTCCTAGAAGCCCAAGAAGAAGAGCAGATATACAGACAGGAACACATGTTCCTGGTCCATTGCACAATATCTAAAAGAGATGAAACATTTTACAAAGTGAAACATTATTTTTTTCATATGGTCAAGAATTAAAACGCATTCTTGTAATACTACGTTTACACCCCCATCCCCTGTAAAAAAAAATTTAAAAAAATTCCAAAGATATTTAAAATAAACAGAAGAGGCAATTGAATACATTAAAAAAAAAGGGGGGGGAGAAGGGAGGTGCAACCCAAAGGCATTATTTCTAAGTAGCTGCCAAAAAAGATCTTACATTACATGTCAAGGAAGAGGAGAAGAGTTCTGAAATGGTACAGTCTGTTTCTAGGAAGGAAGCAGAAAGAACTCCTGGACTTGGATATACACTTACAGTTTTGTGCTGTATCACTCACGAGATTTGTTCCAGATTAAGGCATAATAAGGCCAAAGAAATTTAATTAAGATTATTAAACCTGGCATTCAGTTATGAACTTCTTGAACTTTGGCTTAAGTCAGCAAAACACTTAAAAGAATTCAGAAAAAAATGTGCTAATAAATTAGGATCTTCATCAAATAGACACAACCAGATTATTTATTTCTTTCTTTTAGCATATGTTAGTATTCACTTATATGCCTTTCTTATGTATACTTACTTCTAGGTATATGTTGCATATTTGTAGCAGAGGATATCAAATTCACTTATAAATATTAACAACAAAAGAAAGTGGTCTTTCAAACTTAGACATTGGTAAACTGACAAAAATCTTGCTTAAAACAAAAAGCTTTAAACCAGGGTATGCATTATGTGCACTACTTGAGAATCAAAATTGATTTCAGGCAAGGAATTTCTTACTAAATTTAACAGCTACCATGTAATCAACACTTTTCTGCACAGCTGGGGGTTATGTGGAAATAAAAAGCTCTTTTACAAATCACGGCCCTATATCCTATGAACTCACATTTTTGTTCCAAGTTCACCAGCTTGTGAAAAAATATTATATTAGTAGGGAGGGAAAAGAAAAACATCAAAATTTCTGTATCAGGGCTGTAGCGAATATTTCAGAGCACTTCCTTTCCTGCTTTGTGGCAAGATCCCAGTGACAGGCTGGCTGACAGGACCTTGCCTCAGTGAAATGCAGGCACTTCTGATACTACTGAGTTCCAGACCTGACTGCAAATACTGTCCTTTGCCTGTGAGATGGCCCCAGAAATTTAGCCTAGGGATGTGATGACCATGATGTAATGTTTTCTTATCAGAATCAACAAAACTGAATATTGTATGTGAAGTTATTCTGATTTTATTGTTGCTCTTAACTGAACTATTTATTCACCCAAGACTCACTGAGTTGCCTGGCAGTCCCTGTCTACTGTTTTAATCTTGAAATACTTGTATAAGAAAATCACAAATACTTGCATAAGAAAATTCCAACAGTGTAACTTTTATGTCAACAATTATTTAGCTAAGAATGAATAAGCTGTACACATCCAATTTGCATAAAACATTTTTGAAATGAGAATAATAAACTGGTTTCAAACCTCCTCTGCTGAACTTGCTTTCAAGTAAATCCGTGCTGGAGCTTAAAAGCATACTCTACAATCTAGAGAATGAAAATCTGGGTCTTATATATTTGGCATGGCAAATAAGGACGTGAACCAACCACACTCTGCCTTTTAGCATTTCAAAGCAACTGTTCCATACCTGTGAACTAAACCATGCATTTTGCCCTGTTTTTTGCCAAGTTTGATTAATTTGCTCTGATGTTGATCCTGTCACTGGTATACAGCTACTGATATCTAAATTTAAGCATGTTTGGGTAATAGCATTTATTAATAATTGCATTCTTTGGTAATAACATTTGTTACTGTAGACATAGGCACATGAATCAACCTGGAGTGTTTTTGGGAGTTCACAGAGCAAGAAAAAACATCAGGGTTTTTGTTGCAGAACCATGCTGTTTCAGGCAAATATTTAAGAAGCACTGAAACAGTTTAAAAAAAAAAAAAAAAGTATTTACTGCTTTTTCTTGTAAGTTGAATATTCTGTCTGACTATGTTCAAAATTCTACTTTAAATAGACAGATAAAAATGCATACCACTGCTAAACAGAAAATCCCTTATCCTTTCCTTGAGTAGAGCTACGTGCAGTACCAGCGCTGGCTTGTTCTTGCTGCTGCCCCACACCTTTCCCTGCTGCATTACGCTCCCATCCCCTCCCTTGCCCTTCCCTCACTGTCTGCCATTTCAGCAACTCTGCACTCTGCTCAGCCCATGGAGATGCCTCCACCCATTCTTTCTTCCCTCATCTTTTTGCTTTCCATGCTCTTCTCCCTCTGCAGCCCTGCTTTTAGGCAGACTATCTCCTGGGCTTGCACTGGCTCAACCTGGCTGGCTAAAGCAACAGCAGTTTCCCATTGCTCCTTACTTTCCATTGTCTGACACGAAAAGTAACATGAGGATTCAGGTCTGGTAGAAATCCTAACATTCTCCTTGTCTCAGAAGCTGAGAGCTGTAAAACAGGTTTTATAAAAGCCAAATTATTATAATAATGGTCTTTATCAACATCCTGTGCCATACATTTCACTCTTCTCTAGGCTTTTTGACGTTTGGTATTCTTGTCTTTGGGTGAAAACACAAAACTAAATATTGGAATGAATTCAAACTAAGCATACTCACAAAAAATGGTGTAATGACATAATATTTAAATAAGTCTGTCTGCTAAGATCTATGTAGATCTGTAGACCACACTGAGATGGTGTTTTTGCTGAGGTAAGAGCCAGAAAAAAAAAGATCAAAACGAAAATCACAATGAAACCTCTTTACTGCATATGTTTTTTGATATGACAATTTACATCTCCTACTAGCTGTTAAGAAGTTATAACCTGCTTCTCAGATGCCCTTTGATTCGCAAAAAACTATTTTCACAGGGAAAAGGATCAGGAAAATTATGGAGTTTCTAAAATAATCTGTAATAAAACGTTATCTGACCATAGCTCTTAAGTCCTCTGCTCCTTCCCCTGCAAACAAACTGTGACAGGATCTCTGCATGCAAAATGTCCATAAGGTACCCCAGCTATGATGCTCACATTCTAAAATTCTCTGTTTTAGGAATCCTCCCCTGAAGGAGACTGGTATAAACCTGCTGAACTCTGTGGACAAATAGATCCCTATCTGACTTAAGGGTCGTGATCTTAAAGTCAGAACTATGAATCAACCTTTCTCATCATTAAAAATTAACCTTCAGTCAACCCTAAGTGCATGTCTAGAGACGTGTCATACTGGAACAATCAGAGTTGCAAACACATAGGAGTGGCAATTCCCTTCCAAAAATCTTGTCTGGCCAGTTCTGCTTACGCCTTCTCACAGTCACCAGGAAGAGCCAACAGCGTTCCCACTGCTTGGAATTCAGCATCAGATGCTCATCAGTAGATACAAGGGGAACTTCTGAGAAAATAGCATGTATGTTCTAAGGAAGAAGAACCACTGCAGATCTGTAAGCTAGAAATGCTGCTGTTCAGCTCATTCCAGTGTACAAAGTTGCAAAGGTGAAAGGAACTGGATCATCTACAGCCTTCCCAAAGCTCATAACAGAAGATGAGCTGTCCTGATAGTGCATTTTGAAACACTGTTCAAAAGTAAATTTTGGAGAATGACTGATGTCTTCCATCTTGAAAAAATCAGGGCTTCTGTTTTTCCTATCCAGCAGAATCTGCTGGGGAATCTGGTAGGAATTATTAGTGTCCTCTGGAGCAGAAGCAGGCGCCTATTGGGCAAGAAAGGAGAAGGGCCTCTCTAAGGTCAATCTGACTATTCAGGGCAAGCGTTTCCCAATATCTATTTACTTTAGTTACAAGGCTGCATGTAGAATATTTGCATTGTATGTCTCTGAAAACATCTCATTTACTTGGTTCAGGCTCCCTCAAAGAGGCGCAGAAAAAGAAGAGAAAAGGGTCAGGCAGTTTTTGTGTGGCTTTTGTGACCTTGAGCTGCAAGAGCCCAAGGACTTCCTTGGTCACTGGCCTACCTCACCTTGTAGCCAACAGGCTGCATGGAATCACTGCAGACGTCAGCAAGGCAGGTCTCTTTACACATTTTGCATTCACCTTTAATGTAAAGAAGTTTCCAGGTAACTCTTAAACAGGCTGCCTGGCGTCACAGCAAGGTCCGTAAGCTAACATCTACATACCACAATCCTCACACAGTTCAACATAAGCAGTCTTCTGAATGATAAACAAATCAATCTGTTTATTAATGGAGGCTTGAAAGTAAAGGGTCAGATTATAACATTTATACTTAGTGACTTGATACAACTGACTTCATATTCCTCACTTTCACGTGAAAATGGAATCGTTCTTGCCTTTGTATTTCAGATATTTTCTACAGCTGCTGAAAGAAAAGAAGCTAAGCTGGCAGGCTGGCACGTGGGGAACTCTGGCACACGGCACCAGTGCAGATAAAAACTTCTTTAGAGCTGGTGAATGCAGCACTGTAGCAGAGTGACATTTACCAGCTAAAACACTGAAACACAGCTTCACTGGGACTAAATGTCAGGCCACTGGTTAAAAACAAAACCAAGAAAAGCAGAAAACTTGCAGTTTTTCCTGTAAAGATGTAAACATATATTTGCTGTATATCCTTAATGGACAAGCATTGGAGTACTGCTTGAACTCCCAAATTAAAATAATCAATTAGACCTCCCTGCTGCCCTGGTAATGCCCTTTCCTAACAGCACTAAGAAGCCTGAGAAAAGGATGTGGTTGGTGAAGACAGAGAGCTACTCAAAGAGGCAAAGGAGAGCAGAATGATACAGAAATCACCTAAACTGGGTTATTGTATTATCTTTGTTTATCTGTGCAATAAAAGAGACCTACTTTTTTTTAACATTAAAAAAAAAAAAAATTACAAATAAGAAAAATTAGGTATTTTATGCTCCTTAGAAAGAAACGTGGACTAAAAATGGTTACTTATAAATTCTGTTTTCTTCATATTTTTGCTAGACTGCTAAAACTCATCTTTTGTTGTACATATTTCATTTAAACAGCTTATTAACATTTG